TGGGGGTGGGTGGGGGCGGGCGCGGGCGCGGGCGCGTGTCAATGGCTTTTTTCTGCCACAAGGTAACAACAAAGGCACATGGACCAAAAGGATTTGCCCCTCCACGGTAACATACAGCGACATTAACGCTGCAGCTCGTCTGTGCAGTCACGTTTGTTGCCTGCAAAAGCGATCGTGTTCGGGACGCAGCAGCCTAGTTTAGTTGTGATTTGTTTTTTTGCATTGTGCAGCTTTAATTTGCTCTTCAGACTTGGTTCAGGTGTTTTGAAGTAGGGTTGTATGAGGTGCTTTACTATAGTCTGTGTATTACTATAGCAGACGTACTACCACTTTAATGTTCTCAAGAGAAACGTCCTGGTCGTGTGTTCATAAGGTTCCAAGCGCAGTCAGTCAGATTCTTGTAAAAATGTTCTAACAGGATATTGTTGCATTGGGGTGATTTTGCAGCGCTGCATTGTTGTCCCAGTCTTCGACACCAGAGGGAGGCAGTGGTCTGAGAGTCTCCTACCTACAATAATCCGTGACCCACAGGTTGTGGGTGCTTGTTGCAGCTGTGCTCAGACTGCACCCCCGGCTTCATCCAGTAATGAACTATGGTCTGTCTCACATGGACCAGTGCGTGAAAGCTTTCTCCAGTAATACCGTTGATGTCTGGCAGAGGCTTTAACTTCATTGCTTGCTGATTTAGAGACAGTGTGGGGGTGAATAGCAATTTTTGAGCTAGAAACCTTTACTTGCATCTACTATATGAATATTTAAATGCAATAAACTATGCATCGCTGCATGTTTGGGTGGCACAATGCATCATCCAATGCAGACTGCAGAACATGTGCTTCAATGGTTCTATCCCGTAACTAAATTACCATTAATGTGCATTATGTAATTCAGTTATCTCAGTCTATAAAAAGATTTTCTACTCTCAAAGTCACCTCACTCTCTCAAGAGCTGCAGAGATGAAGTGCAGGTGATATTGACAGCACTGAACCAGCAGGAATAGTGTGCAGTGCTGTTAATATGCGGTACATTTTTCTATACTGATACTAGTAAAAACATTTTGCCTGTTTCGTAGCTTGAGTTGAACACCGTTTCAACTGCAATATTACTACTGCTAGGAGAAGCAAAATGAGCGTACCGGTATGCAAACACAACAGCCTCTGCTTTACTTCTAAATCTAAATACTGTTGTGTAAGTAATAGTGCATAACTCTTAAGTTTATCATTGTTTCACAGCTGACTTGAGTCCCCTCACTCAGTTCACCAGGAGACTATTTGTTTACGATGTTCACGTTTTTTTTTTGTCCATTTTTCAATGGATTCGAAAGAAAGAGGTCACTTGCGTGACACGATGCTTCTTGCACATTTAGTCCGCAGCATCAGTTACAGCACCATGATGGCTGCTCTGCCTTTTCTGACTTTGAATGTTAATAACTTTATACGACACAGAGGATGACCTACTGTGCCCCCATCTCATAGGGTCTACATCAGCAGACTACCCCGTCATCTCATTTGCGCTGAAAAGCAGGGAGTGATTTGTAAGTGTACCGAGTTACTAGAAGCCAAACATTCTCGACCTCTGGCACTACAGGGATTGTAAACTCAGTGACCAGCCAGTGATACCGGGCCTCAAAGAAAGCAGACATCTACCCCTTTAATAGCTTTGTTAGTGGACTTTACGGGCAACTTATGAGCTTGTACAATAGTAACCATGCGGACATTTCTTTGCTTAATTATTAGCGTTAGTTTGTAGCTCCATACTCAACACAGTTTCTCCCATTTTTCCACTAGTGGAATATCTTTTGGGTTTCTTGGTTATGCAAAAGCAAACAGAAATACAACACACACAACCAAAATGGCATGATAGATAATGTTTAACTCTTTGCAGAGGCCTCCAGGGTGAACATGATTGCATGGCTTGCCATTTAACGAGTTACTTTGGGCTGATCATGTTGTAGCAGACTGGAACAGTGAGTCTGTCACATAGCTTTATGGCCTAAGATTAGTCGGAAAGCTCAAGTAACCTCCGCAAGGCCCGGGGCGAGTCACAGTCGCAGCCATTCACAGGCGCCTCATCGGTCATTTAACACTGCATGTGGACTATTGTCAAAAATGGTTTGCAACCTGAAAGGGAAAATTAAATAATTGTAAGCCAACCATTCACGTGATTGAAATTCTAAAAGCATCACTTGAGGATATTCAATGAGGCCTGTTGTCAGATCTTTTTTTTCCCTTGTATGTCTATACAGAAAGACACTGGTCTCTATTTGTCGGCATAAATTTGAAATACAGAACTTCAACTCTTTACTACTCGTTGAGTACAGAGGTGTGGTGAGGACCTGACACAGCAGGCTAAACCTAAAGTGCCAAAAAAAGCCAACTGATCAAACAAATTGAGTCCCCTGACGTTATCTGCAAAAAGGTGTACATGTGAATACACTGCTGACATGCATGCACAGTAGACTGTACTATACTCTGCTCTCATGGTGAAGTACGGTCACATTACATTTCAATCCTACAAACAATCGCTCCCATAAACTCTGAGGCAGCTGTGTTTGTAGGTGATGTTATTTTTCTAGTGTTTTATCACCATTTTTAGTACATTATCAAACCACCAGACCACAAACTGTAGCGTCACTCTCTCACTCTGTTCATAGTCTGCGACTGATCCCATCAATATTTATTTATTACCTGCTGCAGAGCGATGATGTCATGGAACACGAGGTTTTCCTTTAATGGAGATGCAATGTGACCGAATCCAAAACAAATCAACGGCGGAAGTTAATTTCACACAATTTTTCGTCACCACCACGAATCGATTGAGTCTCATTAAATGCTTGGAATACAAATTGTGGATGTGATTGATTTAAAAGCGGCAAACTGGAAGCCTATACAGTTTGTCCTTGCTCGGCACACAAGTTAGAAAAATAAGAAAAGTCTACTAAATGGGGTGAAATCACTACTTATTTGCTCATCCGAATGTTTAGTTGGGGAGCTTCTATCACCAACAGCCTCTGCTGTTTGTTCAACATGCTCAATTGGCTGAACAGCTGCCGATAAGGCGCCAACTTACTCCAATTGTGCTGAACGTACTGTAAAAACTATGGCCGTTGGTCCGCTCAATGGCGTCCAGCGGCCCTCGGTCTACTCTGATAGATGTTGTGGCTCCGTAATCCTCCTCAAACAATGGTGGATGTGAGAATAGAAGAGAGGTTAAGCCCCGTAGGTCTGTCTGTTACCATGTGCTCAGACATTTAAATACACACAGGGAAGGCTGTCTCCTGCCACTTGCTCTATTTGTAGATTTCTACATATTCATCAGATTCTCGGCTGTTTTCTGTTTTTATTTTATGTGGAAATCAGCATAATCTGCTTTAATAACTTTTCTCAATTCTTAACGGTTGCACCTCTTGTTGCGCCGGTAGACGTTTATAGCTTCACTGCACTAGTGCCTCTTTGTGACGGTTTAGATAGAAAAACACCAACATCCTGCTTCTTGTAGCTGCATGCGAGTCCATCCCTTTTGATACTTGGTCAAGTGAATCATTGTTTAAGTGCATGTGTCACACATACTAACATTGAACTACTGTGGGATCGTCTCCTGAAATATCCTCCGCCTCTCTGCTGACATAGACAGAGTTACTGACATTCCTGGACACCTTGGTTCATGGGAGAGCTGGAGAAGGCCAGCGGAAAACAAAACCTAGCTTCAACACTTGCCCTGGCGAATGTGATCCGGACGAGGATACTGAGGAGTTTCGTTGTATGCCGACATGCTCTCATGGCGTAGAGTTAACCGGGCTCAGGGATGATGTGGTCCACTAAGTTGGGAGGCACACAGGGGAGGGGGTCAGAGAATGACAACAATGAGGAAGCTCTCTGGACTCGTGGGCTGCGTCAGACGCCTGCTGGTTCACATTCCACCACCGAGGGGGTCATGAGAGCAGATTCCCCAGTGCCCGTCTGAGGGGGGGTGACTGAGTTGGTCCATCCTCTTTTCAGGCCCCGACGGCAGCTGCCTTGCCTGGCTTGGGTGCAACAGTGACCTCACACCTCCAGAGGTATTTTAAAGGGTGCCAGTCAGCAGGGAGATGAGTTCTGAGTAGGTAGGTGCAGCATTGAGACGTCTGTCCCATGATTGAGAGGTCCGAGGAAGGTCCTACATTGATGTGAGAAAAGTTGTCCGCTTGCGACAATAGTCGGCCAGGTTTGGGAGCTCCCTCTGGGATATGATCCAGTAGACGGCCTGTTTTGCAATGCTGAAGCATTGCCCTCTTGCCCGTTTCTCGTCTGGGGCTCGGAGAAAGATGCCAAATGTTGCCTTTGGGAAAGAGAAGACGTCGTCCCACGTGCCGCTGGAGAACCAGGCAGACCCCAAGCACGTTGCCGAGGAACCGTTACCCCCTCAGAAAGTACTCAAGATATTCAGCCTCAACATCATCGCACAGGGTTTGCCTTTCTGCCGCCGACGGGTGAGTTTTGTACGTATTAGGCCAGTCACACGGGTCGAGTTCAGTTGAGTAACGGAACCTGAAAATGTCAAAGGTCACCTCTTGCCCTCTTTCCCCTTGGTTGTTGTCACTTTGTGTAACTGCTGTTTAATCGAAGAGGTGGATCTAAATTGAAGCTCCTTGGCTACTTTCATTAAAGTCACACCCCCTCTAAGCAAACGAGCAGAAAATCTTCCCTTTTAAGGATTGTTTGAACTTGAATAACTGATAGTTGTTGCATTGCTGCAACAACTTAAATAAATAAGAACAAATTGAGACACTTTTAATGTAAGGTGGATGGATACATTTGTTTGTCCGATGTACTTCAATCGTTTCAGTACGTCCACGGATACAAACGTTCTCTGTTCTCGGCTCCACCCATGACGGGCGACGGACACCAACATATAACCTTAAAAAGGCCGTCGCCCAATGAGCCTATTTTTAGGTCATGTTTTAGATGAAACAATAAATTGGTGGTGTTGCCTGGGAGATGTGTTTGCGTTCTATTTTGTAATTCCTCTCGTGTGTTAGTTGTTGAAGGTTGAAGCAGTTCTAAAACATCATTACGCTCCAACTATGACATTAGCAACTTCTTCCCCTTTAAAAGCAAATCAGGTTGCCTGTTGGCAACTATAACGGTAACACTGGTTGCATTAAAAGTCTCCTTTTGATAAATTATTAAGATTAAACTTCCATTTCAAGTGAGATGCTTCTTGGCGAGCCCAGGGCCCCGTCTGAAAGAATAAACCGTCTAAATGACGCTAATCTCTCCATGTTTTGTCACCGGCTGTCTAACATTCAAACATGAAGAGATTAAAGGTACGATCATCACATTTTAATTGATATTATGAAATGTAGATTAAATAAATGAACCAGATTTATTCAGACAAATTTATTCATGCTGACATTTGATAATTAAATTATTTTGTGCTCATGTCACTTTTTTTAATAAATCCCCCAAACTCAAAATGTAACAAAACATTCACTGTCAATATCTAGTATTGGTTTATTAAACGTATAAAGCAGGAAATAAATATACTTCCTGATACTTAACATGCGTTTGCTTTTTTAACGTTATATACCGGCCTTAAATACTTGACCAACCAGATTTTAGGAGCCACTTTAATGTGTCTGAGTTGACTTGTCAGGTTTATAATTAAATATAAAGCCGAGGACATCTTGGCGAAAGGCTCACCAGCTGTTTTTGTACGGCTGCATCTGACCTCTGAATGTGGTGCGGACAGTTTCTTTATTGTCACTGAAGATACAAAGATGGGCAGTTAAATCATTACACTCCCGTCTGTCAGGAAAGACATGGAGATAGATTGGGGTAGTGAGGAGACCGGTTGTGAAACATCAGACTAAAATAGAAATAAGGGAAGATGTCACAATGACGGAGAAGTGTCAGCGTGTCCTTCACTCTCTCGGATCAAAGCGTGCCACTGTGTTCACCAGCTTTATGAAACAAATCGTCTAATACAGAGATTTAGTTTAAATTAGTGCTGTTTATGCAGCAGTTCAACAGTAGTTTCAAAGAATAGCTGAGACAGACCAGCAGCTTTCTTTAGATAACCCAGCCACGGCTCAAAATGTCAAATCTTTGTTGCAAGGGAAAGCGGCATTGATTTCTACAATAACATCAAATATAATAAAGGTAGACAAAGAGGGAGGCTGTGTGTTGCACCTCTCTTTTGACACTAAGATGTCCTGCATGATCCCTGATTACGTCTCTACATATCGCCTGTATCCTTTTATATGATGAAGTCATGTTGAGCATCAGAGACATTTGGTCTGGTCTTTGGTTAAAGAACTACATTCCCATCAGCCTCAGCTTTGCTTCAGTTGAGCCTTTCTCGCTCTTATTCATATATGTGGGCTCCAAAATTCAGTTTCTAGCTTCCCTGCCATCTTCTGGCTGCTGGACGGAAAGAATTGACTCAACAGACATATTTATTTTACCAGCCACAATTAATAAATTGTCATCATTGTCTCATATGCGATTCTCAATCAATAGATTAGTAGTGTGCAGTAATTATAGTAGTAACACTAATGTTAATTCAACCGTTTCGACACTAAAGTCTAACGCATTTGATTTGATGAATTCAGTAGTATTTACCTTTCAGCTCACAAAGGGTATTTTTTTTAAGGAGGTTGAGAATGTAACAATTATGGAGAAATTAACCAAAGAGAAAAAAGTTAAAATAAGTTCAGAGTAATAGTAGTAATATTTTTTTTTATTCTGTTGTAACATGTTAAATCTTCTCTCTTTTTCCTCCTTGTATCCGCTTTAGGTAGAACGCCACGGTAGTGCTGCTTCTAATCCACGAATATTATTTTTTATATTCAAATATGTTGTGTTTTTTTTCAATACATATTCAAATACAACTTTTGACAGCATTATTCCACATCTGCCACACTTTACATATAGCATGATTGGGAACAGCAGTGAAGAGATCTGTCAGGATGATAATTCATTTGAATGTTACAGAAAGTAGAACTGGGGAAAAGCACAGCATGGAACTCTTTAATCTGTGTGCCCGTGGATTAGACGAAGGCATCTGTGCTTGTGCTCAGCAACACTTTTACTTTTGATTGTTTGCTTTTCATGTTTAGAAAGGCAAAGCACATCAGGAAGCTCGAGACTGAGAAAAGGGAACTGGAGCTTTAAGGTTGTTTGTGAAGTGTGTTCACAAAACGGAGGAAGCCTCGTCGGCTGTCTCCAGTGAACGGGATAGCTGGGCCTGAAACTACCGCTTCAAAAGGAACAAACTATTCTGTAAAATACATATTTCAATGCTTCCACTCTCTACTTTATAATTCTTTATTTTATTCCAATTTAAAATGTTCATGTGGACTTGGACATGGGAGCTTTCTATGAGGCGATGTCGTATCTATAATGTCTCGTATCTTAAAGTGAGATCTTCTCCGGCCCCAACACTTCTCCTACTGTACTGATAAAGATAGTCCGAGGTTACATTTCCAATTAAAACGTGACAGGAGAAGCCAAACCGTATTTCCGGGAGCCAAAATGAGCATCCAGCTGTTGCAGGATATAGCGATCAAGATATAGAACATTAACAGCAGGGCATTTTAGTTGAGGTATTGCTTTTCTCGCCCACCACACCCTGCACTGCAGGCCTGTTGAGTAAGGCGATCTGGACCTGCCCAGAGCAGCTATGTGTGCATCAACAGCTATCGGCAAGATGCATTCGCTGCCTGAGCAGGTGTTGTGGGTGTGTGGCAACTTTCCTTAGCCAGTTTGAAATCAAGCCTCTAGGTTTCCTGTGGTTTTGTCTACACAGCTATTGTCTTTTCTTTTCTGTTCTTTTGTTCGGTTTATTTATTATTTGCTTCATTTGTTGGTTTTTCTCCGTCTGTTTTGAACAAATGTGTGCGCCTAAAGCTGTGTTTTATCAGTTAATGAGTATGTTTGTATGCATATTTAGCTAATTATGAATCAGAATGATATCAAAAAGCCATCTCTCATGATTTGAATGCACAGATTTATCATCTATTTTTGAGAACATATGCCTGGACGCACAGAGGACGTTCTTAATCACTTTCAGTCCGACTTGTCCGTCCCTGACGGGTTACGCGATACGTTCCTGATCCTGCTGCTACCGAGTCGGATGATCTTATAGCGGCTCAAGTGTTGTTCGTCTTTACTATTCATATTTCAAAACCAACTGTTTTCCATCAACAAATCCTTGAAATCACCTCGGCCACATCGCTGTTTGGACTGTGCATCAGCTACCTCGAGCATCACAAAAATGCAACTGTTGATATCTGTGCACATTTTGTAGTTTAGTAGCTTGTCAAATTTAAATAACAAAACAGGGTCACCTTATCAGTAAACTGAATAAAATAAGGAATTATTATTAACTGAATAAACAACAGTGCAAGCATTGCCCATTTCAGAGGTTGGTGCAATGGCGAAAACGGTAACTACTCTGTGTTTATAATGAAACGTGGCCACAGCAAGAACACTAGATTTGTGCAACAAGCGCCTGATTAACACACCAAAAGTTTCTTAACATCAGCCATGCAGATGTTGATGTGCTTTTTATTAAGTACCACTAAATGTAAGTAAATGATTCTCCTCAGCGCCTCCGTAGCAGTGAATTCCGTTTAAATTTCTCTGGGCTGCATAAAGGTTGCTGCTCCCACCTGACTCCCTCATTATGCATTAGCAGTCAGCGTTTCACTTAAGATAAAGCTGCTGCCCTGAAGGAGCAGCTGCCTTTACTAATGGCGGTCTCTGTAGATAAGTGTTGTAAAGAAAGTACGGCTCCCCCGACGGGATCATGCTGCTTGACAAACATCATCACGCAGCCCTTTTAATCATTTTTTCCTCCTATTTTTGGATCGCCAAATGTAGAATATTGGGTTTGACAGCACAAGGATCTTTTGAAGTTTTTTTTTTTTTACTTTTTCCCCCTCTTCTTCCATGACTGATGCAATATATTGAAACACTGGAGTAAAGTTGGCATGAAGTGAGATTCCTTGTTTAGTTTGGTGGTTGACGATGTATGTTGGGAATTTCAGTGCTTTCCCATTTTTGTCTTGGAGCGTTATCCTTTAAAATAAAGAACATAATGGCTGATTGATAGTTTCTCTACCAAGTCAAATTAAACTGTCATGAAAATGGTGGTTTTAGTTATTTTTTTGTTGGTTTTGAATAGTGGATAAGAATAAGTTGTAGAGGTGTGGAAATTTCTCGTTTTGAGATGCATGGTGATGCATCAATGCAGCGACTAAACGTGATCAGGAGTCTGGTTTCTTTTCAGCTCAAAGAAAACAGAGGTCACAGATACTGGTAACTGATAACGATGCAGCTTTTTATATTATAAGCCGTTGAGGTTTTTGAAAGCATTTCTAAATATAAAGGGAGTTCAGATTTATCTGCTTGTATTAACTGATGAATAAGTAGCTGTGTTCAGTAGGACAGAAAATAGGGGATTCATTGAGAATCGTTAACGGGTGAATCGTAGTCGAATCGTGAGGCCAGTGAAGATTCAGAAGAGCTGCTGTGTTATGCTCATGTCTTTACAAAGAGTCATCCTCTGATGTTGCCTTGATGCATTTGACCCTATTTGTTGAGCACACGCAGACTGCCGATACGAGTCGATGATTAAAAAAGGTCTGATTTCGGCCATTAAGCCCTCCTCTGAAGTAAGGACCACAGTCCACTGCAGGGGTTTGGAATTCATTGTCCTTGGGCTCCAAATAACACCGAGAGGAGGGAAGGCATCTGCCATTGGCTATTCTGAGAAGCGGTCCCATTCCAGGGAGCACACGGATCCAGTCGGCTAGCTACCCAGCACCTAGATCTGCCAAACGAGACCCGACTATGGCACCCCAAAAACTGTAATTAGTTTGTTGAAAGAGATACTCTTCTTTGATTGACGTCTATCTCGCGGGGCCTCCTAATATTTAGTTTGTAAAAATGGGACTTATTTTCAAGTATGTTAAAAAATATTGCAATAAACAGAACATCTGCATACAGCTTTTTTGTCGTCTGATGTCGACGATGTCAAAACAATCTTTGCATTTTGACGCTGCACATGATCAGTTGACTTCAAGGCTGATCTAGAAACCACTTTAGTTGGAGCCGGGGCTGCGTAGTTCACTCTTGTTGTGCTTCACATACAGAGCGTACTGAATAGCGATGTGCGGCCACTTGCCACAGGGCTGCCCGAAGGCACTGACGTTTCCCTTGTTGTTTGATACTCCAGGAACTGAGAGAAGATGCACTCTTCCTTCAGGAAAGTGTCACAGCTGAAGGCTCCTCAACATTATTTTAAGGGAAGATGTGAAGCAAAGTGAAACCTCTTAAACAATTTCACTCATGCAAACACTTGCATTACTCATCAGATAAATTATTCATCTCAGCTGTGCTGCACACAAATAATCTTCTCCATAATTCAACACTATTGGTATGTTACTTGTATGTCGTATACAATGCATACAGAAAAATAACTGAATATTTGATAGAAACTGTTTTTTTGCCATTAAAATGGTAATATCTTTTGAATGGCCTGATAACCTATTGTTTTAATCATCATTTTACTGTGAAGGACGGGGTGCAGACATGAGCATTATAGCAGTAGGTTGTTATACATTAGAGATTTCTGGGTTAGGTTTCTGTCATGAACTCTGCTGCTGTGTAATTAATCTCAATTTTGGCATGTTTGAATCAAAATCTGATGCCGGTTGGTGGGATCTTTATGTTGCCAGGAACATGCCAATCATATGTGATCAAACCACAATCACAGTCCTGATGAAGCAGAATAGTTGAGTTTTTGTGTGTTTAATTACAATTTTCGTTGCTGATTCAGATTTTATTTTCTGAGAGCTTTAATTGACAGCAAGACATCGTTGTTATTCGCATAAACACACACAATTCAAATGATTAAGAAATACATTTTTATATTTAAATACTTGCTTGATTAAAAACCTTTTGGCATTAGTAGTTGTAATGATGTATTAAAAGCTGCTGTGGAAACATCCCCCTCAAACAGCTGTATGTATTTACAAGATTACATTTAAACACCTCATGATGGCGTTATAATCTACCTTCTATCATACTCATTTTCACTGAGCAGAGCTTGAACGCACTCTTGTTTCTAAAGTACGTCTGTACTTTAAATGCATGATTAATGTTTTTTCTTCTTAACTTTAAGTTCACTTATTTTATTGTGAACATTTCCTGTTAGGGAGAAATACTCACAGACTTTAAGAGGATCTGAAAAGTTCATACAAGTGATTGAGTTTGTACTCCGATACTGTTCAGACTGTTCCTGTCTACATAACGCTGTGTGTGTGTGTGTGTGTGTGTGTGTGTGTGTGTGTGTGTGTGTGTGAGATCCGAACCCTCCACACTGATGAGTTGTCTCTTCAGTTGATCGCTGTTACCACAGTGACAGTATTTGACGATACCGGACTTGAGCCTTGAATCCGTGTGTCCGGTCCTTCACCCCGTCTTTGTATCAGCTCTTCTCTCCGCTAACCTTCAACGTCGCGCTCGCTGTAATCTGGTCATCAGTGAAGACGGCCCGTGAATGCTGAGCTGACCGGCTGTAACTGACGCGGCCGTGTGCATAGTTTGTCTAATCTTCGTATGAACCCTGCTGTCGGAGTCTCCCGGCATTTGGTGTGCACTGGTGTCGTACCGCAGCGCTCGCTGGACACTTGCTGCAGCCCTCGACTTCCTGCACAGTCGCGCTCCAGCGGTGTGTAATGTCTGTGAAGTTGTTTTGCCTCGTTTTTTACAATGCACCGTAGAAGTTATTGGTAATGTGAAGGCTGTTTACCAAAGCTTGAAAGTTTAGATGGCATTGTCAGTCAGGCTGGGACAAACTGTCAACATCTTTTTTGATCTCTTCTTTCAGAAAGTGGAAAATGTCTCTAAAATCAAACAAGAACATTGTCACAGCATGTTAAGTACAAAAGCCAGTCAGCGAAAGCACACTCAAAGTCAGGTCTGACCCTGTTGAAAGACCCTAAAGGTCTTGATATTGACTATTTGTAAAGACAAAACAACATTGAGCTTCTGTTGAAGTATCAAGAGCCTCTTTATTACTTTAACGGCAGGACGACGAGGTTTTGTAGGTGAGTGTATGAGTGTGCGTACCATAGCTGTGTCACAGAGGTCTGTTGTTCAGCGGGTAAGCAGAAATGTAAACACTTGCTCAGCAACAAGAGGATTACACACTCTTTTAGAAAATAAGGCCTCTAACAGGGCAAGACGACCAGAAAGCTTTTGAAAAGGAAAGGATTACAAATATTTCTCTGGTACAGGGCGGTTCCGCTGGCTGTCGAAGCCGTTCATCATGGCACCCGTACAAAAACGCCTCATTGGATGCAGATATTAAGTGTTGGTTTTTAGCTTTTTCGAGTGTCGAAAGTTCTTCTACTGCTGTTTTGATATGACTTGTCGACACACATTCATATCTAAAGCACACATCCTCCAAAGGCCAGAAGACATCAGGCTAGGAAAAACAATTGTGTTGTGCGAGACATGCGCCCAAACTATTCTGTGCGTGATTATCAGCTAAAAATATCAGCGATTATCAGTGAAAACCATATATCTTTTAATCACCAAGTTATACTGAGCCAATATAAATGCCCTCATTTTCAGCTTTGTGACAATCCATTTTCCAGCTAACTCGATGGGTTTTTAATTGTCGATTAGTTTATTCGAAAATGTATCTGCAACATTTTGATAATCGTTTTGACTTTCTTTTTCTTTTTAAAGAAAAAGTCCTCAAATTCTCTGGTTCCATCTTCTCCTATTTGGGGTTTTGGACGGTCGGTCGGACTAATCAAGACATTTAAAGATCTTAAAAAATTAAAAAAATTTAAAGAAGTTATCTTGGACGACGCTGGAAAACCCCGATGAACATTTTATAAATAAAACGATTCATTGAGAATAGAATTGCCGGATTGATGGATAATCAACATTTGCAGCCCTTCTTAAGAAACAGGAACATTTTCTCAAACCACAAAATAACTTAATCCTTCAGTACCAAAAGTAAACTAATTATCCTCTAAACAGCAAAGTCTCTGGCGGCTGCCATTGGCCCAGTGACCGCCTCCAGTCTGCGTGAGCCACTGTACCCGATTCATCGTCTGACATTGATTAGCAGCATGTACCGTGTGAGGGATGATGGATGACTGCCAGGTTGGGGCCATGACATCCATATTTATAATTTGTGCAGTTTATAAAATGACCTTGGCTCCGTGGCTCTGGTGTGCTGTACCTCCAGATCTGACAAGTGTGAGGCCGCGTTCAGAACAGAAATAGCGCACTGTGTTAAAAACCCACAAGGGGGCTGCGTTGCTACAGGTACCGGTGAGAAAATGAAATATGATCCAGGAGGTTTAGTTTGAGGCCTACATCAATGACTTTGAAGGCTTATCACATACCGAAACACCGCACAGGGGTTCAGGATACTTTCACGTGACGCTCTCAAGGTAAACAACACTGTTAATGTTGCAAATAACCTCCCAGGAACATACATACAATGTGGCATCGCACACTGACCACACTACCAACGCATGGGGAGGAAACAGGGTCATCGGGTCGCAGTCCCCAGATTCTTACTGTTCTTTTTACTTTCTGGCCACGTTGCATGAATGAGCTTACAAATCCACCATGCCAGGATCTCAGAGAGTAGAGGTGCTGAGAATAATATATGAATGTCTGCTGCCTTACAACATCATACTTAATAAGAGCAATCTTCTTACTTCAGAGATTCCGTTCTTCTGAGAGTTACGTCTTCATCCCTCTGAGCTATACAGAAATATGTCTTGCTGCTCTGTCAAGGACACGCCTCTCCTTTTGTGTTATTAACGGTAGGACGATGTGGAAATTATAGCTTCCCTTTCAGCTGCCCTGTGTGGGTTTAGAACAGAGAGAGGATGGCTCCGTGCCTGGCAGAATTATTGACTCACTCTTCATAAAACTCTTTGCTTTGTCTACCTCTTTATATTTCACCATTCTCTCTTCCTACTTCTGTAGCCTTTTTCTTTCACTCGTTCACTCACTCGTTCATTCAGGAGAGACGACTCCTGGTCTTATCTCTTCGGAACAGAATCAACACCCCGCCCTCCTCTCACTGTGGACGGCTTATTGTCCCGACTCCATCCAGTCATTCAGCCTCGGAACAGATCCCTCCCTGTGACTGAACACACACTGTTCGATGGTTGTTTCTGAAACTAAAAGTGCAAATTATTTAGTTACGAACTAAAAATCTATTTTCTCTAAGTTTTGTAAGAATGATGAAGGTAAGAACAAAATAAACTCAGAAGACATGCTGAGTCAAAACCACAGAAGACAGTGAGATAGTTTGACTGATTTTAAAAACACAAACCACCATAATAAGGTCATTATTACGAGCCATATTCATGTTACTGCATCTTATGTGTTTGCATGCAGCTGCAGTTTGCATCTCTGAGGAGTAAATTTCTCAGGAATTTCTCTAAATTGATTTAAATGTATTGAAACTTGGCATCATTTCTCCAAAGTCTGTGAAGCAGGAGAAGAGTTATGACAATTTCTTTTCTATATTGTACTAATTTGGAATGCATTTTAATATTCTACTACTACTAAATACAGATGCAGTTATTTATGAGTCTAGTGCAGCCGTAGAGGAACTGTGTCGACATAGATAATAACTGAGACGCAAATATGTATTCAAATATTTGTGGGAAACTTGGAAATGCTGAAGAACAAAGTGATACTTTAAGATGCCACGCTTTAGTTGTGACATGACTGCGGTGCTACATCAGGGCTAATCCTTAAGATGCTGTATAGCCACTGACCTTTGTGCCGAGTCGTCAGAACAACAAGTGTAGCAAAGCCAACAAAGCATCCATTCATATTAATATGAATCTACAAATCTTTACTGTTCGTTTGAGGAAATGTTTGGAAGGACTTATTGTTGATGAACAGTGTTTTGGTTCGAGGTTTTCCAGTGTGTATAACTTTTTTTTTTTTAAATGAATAAGTAAAGAAATACGTGACAGTAAAATGGGGAAAAAATAAGTGCAATTTAATACCTTTTGACGCCGACGCCTCAGCCTTCTCACAGCATGTTGGGCCTCTGCGATTTGAGCGTGGGTGTTGTAGTTGCTTTCAGACGAACACGGTTCTTTATTCCCTTTAAGCCAAACACAGAAAGTGCTTTACTTTTCTGTCTGTGCTGTAAAGGCTGTAGCTGATGCCCATCTGTTCATTTGGTCAGGAAACTAAGGAACCTGAACTGATTTCTATGAACCAAAAGTGAATTTGCTTCATCACCGACACAACATTACATCAAACATTACTGAATCCCATCCCTCTGTAGTCTTTAGAGTCGGCCGCACAGAAGGCTAAACAGTCGGTCCTTTTTTAACTCCTGCAAACATTTGAGGAGATTTAAAAGATTCTCATGGTATGAATCTTTTATGATTTTTTTTCTACACTGCAGGTTGTTGTGATCCTGCTCTCTTCCTCTATCACATACCTCATTACTCATTCCTCTGCATATTCCTTCAGTTGATTAAAGCTCCTTCACCTGCAGTCGCGGTGCTTTCATATTCAGTTTACAGGTTGAATGAGCAGGTGTTGCTTCGTATGAACAGCTCGACGGATATGTAGAAGCAACAATACTTTTAAAGGGTCAGTTCACCCCAAAAACATCTTTATCACTGAAGTCATAGCAGTATCGAACAATGCAGAGTAACATAGTAACTAAATACATCGTTTTTAATTAGTGACAACATCACGCTGTTTTACCAGAAAGTAGTTGTAATCCTTCATCGATCCTTGAACCTGCCTATAATGCTCTTATTTGCTCTTATCTGAGTCTTTCCCTAACGTCCATTTGTTTTCTCTATTCTCTCTTATGTGCTGACCCCTGTTGTGGAACACACAGGTAAGAAACATCTCATTTTCTTTGATTATAGTCCATCACAACCCACTGTGGTCTCCACTGGTGTTTGAAGTATTTTGTCTGCAACAACTCAGGATGCTGTTTTGGTACCTGTAGGGGGCAGCATGAACTAAAAGTTCAGTGATCACTGACGAAGCAGAGAGCTCAGTGTAGCCCTGCACCTTCACCGTGTTAGTATGCTGAGAGGTTCGTGCGTTACGGCTCTGTCTGTATTCACACACTGTGTTTAATTTCGCTTTTTCTTAACAGTGTTGTGGCATTTCCTGGTCTGAAAGGAGTCCCTCATGTTGTTTGCTGCAGTTGTTTTAGTACCCGCAGTGGTCTTGTGGCTCTGTGTTGTCATGCTTTAGTTTCGTGGAATCATGGACACCGCCCAATCACATCTTTTGTGCCTGAAGTCTGTTTGACTCCCGCTGTACACATCTCTGCCTCTTGCAAGAAAAAACGAGTATTTATAAGCAGTTCCCTCGGACGCATATCTGCTGTTTTTCAAGCACCGACCCTCCTCACTCGTCTCCCACATGCAGACTCTCCCGGCTAAGAGCTTCGATAAATGTTCAGGTTGTTATGACGACTATAAGTGCAGCATTCAATACTACATTAACATCGACGAAGCTCTGACACTGTTGCACATCTCTTCAGGTTTAATGCAATGCTAATCCCAAAAGGCTCTGCGCTGAAGGATCCATGGGGTTTTGTTAATGGTCTGGTTTGAGAAACAACTTAAATTTGAACGAAGCAATCTAAACAATAAAAGGCCGGCCTGCTATTTAAATATGTTCATTGTATCAATGCTTTGGTAGCTGTTTTAAAAGAAGTCTAGTAGGAGGATCGATCAGTTTTTAGGATCACAGAGATGCATGTCATCTTACATCTTTTTCAAAATACAAGGTAAACTTGTGATAGCTGGAGGGAAGTAACGAAAAGTTTGAAGCTTCTTTCATGAAGTTGACATTCGTATTCTAAATCAACATTCGAACACTGCACAGCTTTTTTGTTCTGTTTAAAAACAAAATCTGATTTATCACTTAATTCAAATCTAAGATGTTGTTAGTTTTATAGATGGACATTCAAAGTTTCATAATAAAGACATTTGGTACGGCCCTTAATAGCTGTTTCGTGACGTCCAAGCACACAGGTACTGTTGACTGATGGGCCGAACCACATCTGTCTTCTGAAAATACTTTCCCAACTCATCATTGTCTTTGGTAGATTAAATGTTGCCTTGCTCTTCGGCCTTCAGTCACTTTGCAGTGACGGTCTGGAGGTGGAACTGCTCAGCCATCAGCCTTGGGTGTGCTACAGTTTGATGGGGCGCAAGTCAGTCGATGCAAAGTGGCTCCCAGTGTCACAACTGTGCATGGCAGGAAGTGGCGCGGGGATAATTGAGGACCTTGTGCTGCATCAGTGCACCCTGATTTTTCTGTGGCGGTGTGGGGTCAAAGATGTTTTTTCAGTGTTTCTGTTTCAGTGCTGGGAGGATGAGGCCAGTCTGCTACACGGCGTTAGTCCAGGGTAGCATTTGTGTGGAGCCAAAAGAGTCTCCTGTTTTATACAAAAGAACGTGAAGGTAGTGCATCATTTGTCACTTAGTTTCTCAGACCAAAATGTTTCTCTTGCAAGGCCAAGGGTTCTGCCAATATTAAGTCTGGTCTGTTATGAACAGATGCATATGTTCTGCTCATAGGAACATAACAGCGCTTCACTGGTAAGACAACAAGTAGACCTTTGCTAATCTGTCCTTTGAATGTGATGGGGACAATTTCATTGTCCAAGTTTTTTTTTTTTTAGGGCTTATTTGTTTATTTGTAGAGAAAACCCAGGTATGTAGGTGTCCACCCTACCCCAATCGTACTGTGCATTCAGCAAGTTTCCAATATGCTTCATGTGAAATCAAATTCATCATCCTCTAATTTATCCGTTGAAACAATATGGACAGCTTCATATTTGACCTTTTCTCTTCAGCAAGGTGTCTGCAGGTATGAAAAGCATACAAATCAAGTTGCTGGGCAGCACACCTGCATTCACGTCGAGGTCACATCAGGCTACACGGAAAGCATCAACTTCCTGTTGATGCGTTAGCCGTCTCATTGTGCATGGATGTCGACTGGAAGCCTGGAAGCATTTGTCCTCGTACGTATGTATTCTTACTGCTCGGGACAGTTTTGACCGCCTGTTGAATTAAAGCATTGTCCACATAAAGAAGGAGCAAGAATCTCATTTCAGCATTGCATATTGATTATTCTATTCAGCCAGCTGCCTGAGTGCGTATGTCAAAGTATACACACTTTATCTCAGCGTGAAGGAAAATAATTTAGCTGCCTCAGGGATGATAATGGAGGAGTACCAATTGGAAGGAGGTGCGTGTTAAAGCAGTACTTCAAACGCTCCAGTGTTTTCTGGAGTGTTCAGAGACGTTACAGTAGACGGGAGCGTGGAATTACGTGCCAGACCAGAACAAGTATGTCACCAGTAATCTTTCTGTTGCTGCCAAGACCAATTTAAATTCAAATTCTGTGATATGCCTTTGTATTTTCAGCCCAAGTTCATTGTATGCAAGTATGCCAACAGCGCCCACAGGGCTTGGATTTGGTTTTGCCAGAAATGACAATGTCTGCAGTTCATCTTGAATGAAAAAAGTAGATACGTTTTTTACAATTGTAGGCTTTCAATAACCGATTTATTTCATGCAGCTATAGTATCGTGTTTAAAAAACAAACCAACAAACAAGCAAAAGTATGAGAATTTGTTTTGGATGTAACTTGTAACATGAAGAGACGTTAATTGGCGTGACAGTTTTATTTGACTTATAAATAACAAAACTACCAGAACTACTTTTTTTGGTAATCGGTTAATTATTCATGGGTGTTTTTCATACAAAAATACCAAAAAGTCTCTTTTCATTATGTCCATTTTCAGGGTTTGCTGCTCTTCTTTGTCTTATATTATTTTTAGGTTTTCCGGTGTCGGTCAGACAAAATCAGCGATTTAATAACTTTTTAAGAAACATTTCAAAAGGCATTTTCAGGGTTATGACATGTTATGTAATGAATATGTAATCAATCCAGAAAACAATGATAATATTCATGAATTAGAATATTCATATTGGGTACGAGTCAAGTGTTCAAACCTTTTTTTAGTTTTTAAAAATGTTTCATGTCTCTTAAAGTATAAGATATGCCTTTCATAAAAATAAAAAACACTCTTGCCAATTCTGGATTTTCAAATGAACAAAAACAAATTATACAAGGTCACAACCGGTGACTCTGCTCCATTTCCTCTCAGTCCCCCAACAGTTAGGCTCTGTTTGTTTTGTATAACTAGGAATTGAATATTTACCCTGGTGCAGTTCCCTGCAGAATCTGTGTTTTGATTAACAATTCATGGCCTCCTCAACGCATTTTAACCAGGCAATCAATATTCTCTCCTCTGATGAGGACGCGGGGGGGGGGAGGGGAGGGGAGAGGTTGTTGCTGGGATTAATTTACCAATACGAAATGTAAAATCAATGATAGGCACACAGAGATGAACACGCAGGAGTTTTTTATTACGGCTGCAGTGTGTCAGTAGTCGTTCTATTACTGTGATGGATGACAATGAAAGGGGTTCCATGGCTACATTAGATCATCTAACTAGGCAGCAACATCCGCAGACGTTAATTTAAACAGAGCTCTGATGCAATTAGCAAAGCCCCATTACTCTGCCTGTCCAGTGGAAAAACAACTGTGTCGGGGACAGACTTCAGGTTTAGCCAAATTACAGTTTCCTCTGAATTACACTAAAGTTAACTTTTGTGTTATTCTCCCTCCTGAAATGTTGTCCATACTTATTTGCTGACTCCTTCCTCTCTAATGGAATATACTGTAATGAACCATTACTCCCGGTATAATATGTTTAGCTCTTACACATTTGAGCATATTGGTGGTTTTAAGGGTCTTTTTAGTAGATCAGTCCATTTTAATGATATTAAAGTCGGTTTCAAGGTGTTGCAGGGTATTACTGCATATATCAAAAACAGTTGTATAAATGCTAAAAATATATTAATGTTTACTATCTATCGTTCTTCCCCCTATTCATTTGTCGGGAACCCGCTCATAAAAACATCACTCCATAAAGCAGCTAGTGGTCAGAAATGTGACAATGAACAACCCTTCAAAGCCTGATTGGGTTCTTAATGACTAATGAGATGAAATGTTGAAAATCTGCCATGTCTCTATTTTTATTTTCTTCCTATCTAGCAGTGTTTACCAATTAAACTATTCACGAGTCTATAAAGGCAGCCTCCCACACCATCTGCAATTAGGAATATTAATACCTGCATTAAAGTCCATATTTCAGAAGCTTCATTCTGATTCTGATTTCAATATACTGACATTTAGTCCACATGACCGTACACGATTGTATAACCCTGAATAATAATAATAAAACCAAGAATGCCTTCAAACTGAACCGACATGTTATTTAGCCTTCTATAGGATGAGCATGACTTTACAGGATGAGATGGAACAGTTTTCCACATATTCCAGGATGATTCTCCAAAATTCATAACAGTCCACTTGTAATGCTTTCATGAGCACCAGAAGGGTGTCGGATGTGATCATGAAATCTTTTTTGAGAGGTTCTCATGCACATTAGATTTAACAAAAGTCAGTGGAGATGAAGTCACCGTGGAGTTGCTCAAGGCTCACAGTACGCACATGTGCATTTCATGCTTCACCTCCCTCACACCTCGGTACAACATCGGCACGCTACAGTGGATAAGTGGGGAAAAAGTGCTGATTTGGTCCGACTGGGCGGTTTAATTTGTGATGAGCGTGGGAGAGTGGGACCTCACGCCGATGCCGTAGAGCCTTGTGGCCAGGTTGTGCTGCTGCACCGTCCCCCCCTAGCCAGCTGTAGATGCACCTGCTGAGTCAGCACCGGCTACCCAGTACACCACCTTGTTCTCACCAGTACTGCAGCTAAGAATGACCCTTTTTTATGACCAGAGAGGGATTTGAAAATGTCTCTTTTTCTTTGGGTGCTGTTGGTGAAATCATTCTTTAATGTAAACCCGTTGCACGCCAGTGATCCTTGCACTTAGTTTACTTTAAGATCAAAGAATAATTTGGTGTCCAATCTCTTTGAGTTCATGCGAGTTCTCACATTTTTACCAGTATGCAAATTCACGTTTTAATACATGAAGTATATTTCACTACCTCTAGTGCTGGGAGGCTGTTGTAGCATCTCAGATCATTTGTGGACCCTAAACAAATTGTAAAGCGTGAAACTGTTGTAAAACCATTTCTGGAGGGTAAGCACACAAGAGACTCAATTTCACAGTTTAGTGTTTTTATATCATAGCTGTTGCAAAGGATAGATGTGGTTACCTTCACTCATTAAAAAGGAGAGAATGACTTTCGAGAAAATAAACAGCTGGAGTCCTTTTACTCCAAATCTGCACAGATGCCTTTATTTTGTGACTCGAATCCAATAAACAAACATTACAGACACGTGACGATCGACACGCTGCAGTGAAAGCGTGACGCCAGTGATGTGGAGAATCAGTTGAATATCGCTTGTTGCTCTTTATTTTACATCACTTGAGATCAAACGGAGAATCCAGCAGACAGTGTAACGGTCCAGACAGCCGTAAATAAACTGTTCATTCATCCCCAACTGTGAGAACGCCGTCGGTGCAGAAATTACAGAGAAATCACGAAGAAAACGATTTAAAGTAGTAATTATCAACTTTTGGGGAATTTTAAGCATTGGTTTATATATTTTTTGTGATGTCAGGTGCCCGTATGAACCGTGAAACAGGTTTCGTTTGCTGTGATCATTCCTCTTGTCTATAAAGAGATCCCTTCCTAAAGCGATTTCAATGTAGCTGATTGGGGCAACACGGTCTTGTTTTTGTAAAAAGGTGGAATAAGTGAATCTTTCAAAGTTATAGTCTTTTTAGTCTTTGTGCCACTATCTCTCCACTGCAGCTCAGCAAGGAAACCGTGTCCAGGGAAACAGGAAGAGGGAGAATCACACTAAAAAGATTGTAAATGTGGAACACATCCCTGTGATTTGTCCAACTCAGACTGCTGAAGGCTAATATTAGTTTCAGTCTTCATTTTGTCCTCCATCTCCTCCATTGAAATTGCTTTAGTACGGGTTCTCTTTACAGCCAGGAGGAAAGACAGGAGAAATAAATACGGCAAGCGAAACCTGTCGGCTCGGAACAAGTCGGTGGTTAGAAGGCAGAGACCAACTGGTTTGCACTGATGTCAGTTGAACTTGAGTCTGTTGTATAACTGAAATGAAGGTTACCACGTGTGGTTTGTCTGTCACCGACTCTAAACTCGGCCTCAAAGACGCTTTGGAATATTTTGCACTTCCGGGAAGAGTTGTTTCACTTCTAAAGACGAGGAGCACGCGTCCTCTACTGTTACGACCAATTAGTAACCAGTGACGGTAAACATTTGCTCCGAGCGGTTTCCGCCACAAAAGTAACTCGTTGCTGTGTTGACTTGCTTTGTTTGTTGCCAGGTGTATTCCCCTGTGCATTTCTGAGAGTTTCAGCACTTTTCCAAATGAAAACAATGCTCTTTCATTAAGACGTGCTTTGGATTATTTTAATGCCAGGTATAAGGTTCAGCCTGTATGTTGAGGTGTTAGCCGAGTGTTGGAAGTAAAGCCTAAAAGTTGAATCTCTGTCAGATTTGCCTCTCCACGACTTAGGTTTCATTTTCCAGTGGACGTTGTGTGTGTGTGTGTGTGTGTGTGTGTGTGTGTGTGTGTGTGTGTGTCTCTGTGAGCACAGCACAGGTGATGTGGGTATTTCCGAGATGGGCTGAATGCTCGGTAATTATCCATTTGTTGTAAACACATCTCCTCTGCATAACAATTAAGTGTCATCGTCACTGTGTGCATCAGAGACAGATGGCACGGCCAACACAAGAGGGGAAAAGAGAAACTCAAGATGTGCCATCTCCATTGTTTCCAGCCCGTAGGGGCTGTGGCCTGATGTTCACGCCATTGTTAGCTGAGCGAGGTGAGTGACAAACTGTAATAATGCACATGGCACGAAACTCCTGGTGCCTATCCAGCCCACGCTTTGTGATTTTTGCGTCACATTTTGTGACAGAATTGGCCTTGTTCTC